AGATCATCGAATTCTCTTAGAATTGCTTTGCTGTAAAGTTTGGTTCAATCAAGTTGTCCGTCCTGGGTATGACGATAAACTACGTCCAATAGCACGGCCTCTGATCAGGAGGCTTTGAGGAGCGTGGAACAACTTCTTATTTGCTCGTGTTCCAGGTCCACCCTGACCCGGTGTGTTAGCAACTGTTAGGGTCCCAGCTATGGGCAAATAGTTAACCCTGAAACTGAGGTAAAAAATTATTATGAAAGTGCAAAAATAGGTTTTAATACCAGAAATACTTTGTAAAAAAAAATATATATATATTACCAGCAATACATTTTTGAGGAAAAAAATATTACCAGAAATAGATTTTTGAGAAAACAAAAATATTGCCAAGAAAAAAAATTTGTCGGCATTAAATGACCCATTGAGGTTGATATGCCATAAAACAAAACAAACAAAACTAAATCCAGTTGTAAAGATACATCCTTGTTTTATGCCCCTTTTTATTTGTGTGTATTTATTATACTTTTTAGATCCTGTTAATCCATTTGTCTCTGCAGACGATGTTGAGCCTGTACAGATCTTGTACTGCCAATACATCAACGTCTGCCACTCGTCATTGCCGATAAAATCTAAAAGAAAGGGTAGCTCGACTGCAGAGTTTACCGGGTGGCAAAGTATGCTATTCAACCGACTTGGTGGTTTCTACACCGGATTTGTGTAGGGCTTAATCCTTAGACTTCTCTTTAACCTGAAGACAGCTTAAGAATGCTCTGCTATTTTATCTATAGCTGTACAAAGATGGATTCCTGCCTTTTCTAAAGGTATTAGTGCAAAGTGAACAAACCAGATTAAGTTAGAATTTGAACTCTGCACGCCAGATTCACTTTCTGCACCGATGACAGTTACATACCTATAGGTCCTTTTAAATATTGCACATGGTAAAAATATGCAATTGATACACAAGTGGTTTATATCAAATCACTCAATGTGTGCTACAGCTAGCATGTAACAGAACACTAGCTATCGCATGGTCGGATCATCAACGACTAGGTTCCGTTACTAGTCAGTTCTGGTGAGGAAGGTAGCTAGACACCCCAAAAGATGTATATGTATGTGTTATGCAAAAGCGTTTGATAAAGTACGACATAAAGAATTGTTTGAACTGCTAGGTTAGTTTGAGTTATTTAATATATTAGAACAATCCAGAACTTATACTGCGAACAAACCGCCTGCATACGGATGGAAAGTTCGCTAAATGCACAAAAACAAATAGGCATAAGGCAACGATGTGTCTTCTCACCGGACTTACTGAACCTTTTCAGTGAGAAAACCAGAAGTTATATCAGGATTAGCTGCCACAAACTTAACAACATAACACATTACCAAACATAGAAAGAAAACTGCAGAAACTCCTACAGAAAGTAGTAAAGGAAAGCTTAAACGTCAATAAGACAGAATGTATAGTTGTCGGCAAACGGAACATATCAAGATGCGAACTACGAATTGGAGATATCGTAATCAAACAGGCACAAAAATGTAATTATCTAGTAAGTGTTTTAACAGCCGACAGGGAAATGCAAATTAAGTAAAAAGAAAGCACCGGGCCGCAAATTAATAACGGTCCTCATATATGGCAGTGAATGTTGGACAGTTTCTTCACAAATGAAGAAGAGACTAATGTGGTTGTACAAAAGGATATTGAGAATTCTATGGATTGAACATGTGATTAACGAGGAAGTTTTAAGGAAAATTGAAACAAAAGAAAACTTACACATAGAATCTAAAAGAAACAAAATTTCTAAGGCCAAAATTAGGAAATGGAGAATTGGATATTCACAGAATATATTGAAGGCAAGAGGAACATAAGAAAGCGGCGAAAAAACATGACGATCTTCTGTAAATAGTTGGCAGGACAGGTATTAGAAGAAATGGGGGAAAAAACTCTCTTTAGTAAGAGCTAGAAAGGTAAAGAATTTGTAGAGAGCCATGATCGCCCACGATCTGAAAGGATGCGGCATAAAGAAGAAGAAAACTGCTTGATATTAAAGAAGTCTTGTCAATTTCTTTTTCGACTCTCGATCTTTTCCGCTCTCTAGTTCAAGCGTCGCTTAGAAGACCATAGACAGAACATGTGAGCAAGGAACAAGCTTTAAGGAAAATGAAAGCAGAAATGCATTTATACTTAGAATTCGAAAGGGACAGTTCAATTTTCTAAGGAATAATTAATATATATTAATTAAGGGTTAGAAAATGATAGTAATTAATTTTCCTCCTCCTCAAATATTCAAATGTCAAATGATGATGATAAAACTTTTAATATAAAATCCTACAAAATATATTAAATGTTTGTCCCGGATTACCATCCCTAACATGGTAGAATTGAAACATGAAATGTACTAGAAATTTAATTTGCCGGATTACTGATGGTTGTTAGAACACAACTAACCCAACAGCTTGCGACATTATCCTACATTTAAAATGCACAAAAGCTCGAGCCACCAAATAGAAGCGGCAGACGATCCGTGACATTTAAAATTATTTTCAGATTACTGATTGACAGATTAATGATGTCCAAACGGTGATAAAACATTGCTTACTATAGATAATGCGACATATTTCGATTAATTAAAGGTAGAGAATTTCCACATTTGTATTGAAGTAAAAACAGGTAAAGCCAAGGTTCATAGTCAAGGAACCATCTTGTATATTTTCCTTTAAAAAGAATGATTTGTTGAAAATTATTATTGCGAAGGAAATAATAAGCAAACAGTGTTTGAATAAGGTCGATGTTCTTTGAAATATTAATTTTCGAAATGCGTGTCTTATGCGTGTGAAATATATTAAACAGAAATTAAGTTTCCCATCCGACGAAAATATTTAGAAACAGGAGGACTTGTCCGCGAACAGTTTACGTGCAAATAACCGCTGAACTTTCTTGGTGAATTCTTTTTATAGCTAATATACCGACGTTCATGTAGGCATAAAATCCACGCCAAAGGTTTAAGCAAAAAGGAAGAGAACATTTTTTTACGTTTTATTTTCAGTTGTGCAACTCGATTACACGACTTAAATACTCGATAGTTAACAGGAACACGTCGTCTCATTCGAACTCGCGGGTGTGAATTTCAACGTTTATAATTAAACTGGAGTTGAGCTCGAGGCGGGAACGGACACCAAAATCATGTGATGTGTCTGTTCACTACAATTTCATTAACTGAGAGTTTGTCACAAGACCGAAAAAGTTTTCACTGAAGTAAGATGGTATCTGGTTTTCAAATATAATAATAATGTATAGTGGCTGGCGACTCGTATACCCGTCTACTAGAGTGGTTAGGTAATCCCTGTTGAAGACTCCTGCTCAAGCACATGTGCGTTTCTTCAATGCTCACATAGACAATTTTTTGGCTCCCTCCGACGCTCTTTCTTTTGAATTCTCTCCTAATAAATGAATCTCATATGGTCTAGGTCTACTGAAGATTTTGTCATATTAACAGACTAAAAAGACAAAAACGGATTTTTCGCATTTCTTTATTTTTTTTCTCTCAAAATGCTAATTTTGGGAAATGACCCACTCCATGAAATTCTTAGCAACCCCCTCACAGAAACACACACAGAGGCGCATTCGCATGTAGAATGATAGTTATTATGGTATATATACATAGATACATATAGATAGATATAAACGGGTTGTGATAAATAGAGAGAGATATACATATAAAGGAAACTAGATAGATTGATAATAATTGTAATGTTGGTTGTTTCCTTATAAAGAAACATTCAGCATTTATTGACCGAGTATGTTACACGCTACCTCACTTCTTCGTCTTAGGAACAATTCCATCGTCTCTATCGTTGTACTGACATGGTTCTTAAGACCTAGATCGAGAGCGTCAACGTACATTTTTTTTCTCTTTCTTTCACTTTCACTTTCTCTGTCATTCTCTCTCGCTATCCTTTCCCACATGACTCGTGGCTCGTCAATTCTTAACATCATATCATCCGAACATGTAGCCTGTTAGCTCTTCTTCTATAAATTTATTGCACTATGCCATCTGAAACATCGTCAAGTGGAAATCCCAACCCCTAGCCTTGAATTACCAAAGACTCACTAAAAGCTGCCATCGGGTGCAACATTTTCTATCTGGATGTCGATTGATTAATTCTAAAATCTTCGTCTGAAAGGAAACTTTCAAACAACAACGAATAACCGTCGAATCGTTGGAAAAAATAGATAGGAAAGTTTTCAACTTATCAAAAACTGCGACTGAATTGTGCAAAGAAATGTTGACATTCTATTTTGCTCACAGATTTGTCAATGAAAGTTTTTCATGCAAAAGTATCAGTGGGGATCGTGACATGCTCGTCTCCAAAGTCTTCGGTTGTAAAGAAGAAACTTGTACCGATTTTTAGCGAAAGGGTTAATCTGTTGGTTAGATTGATTTTATTCCGTCCTTCTTTCTTCTACTTTTATCCAATTGTCGTGTCAGGATTCTTGAGATTGGCGTTGACTTCATTGAACCATGAGGGAAATTATTTGTGGGGAATATGTTGATACTTAAAAAAATAAGCAAATATTCACTTGTTTCTAGATCCAAGCGTCTTCTTGGTTAAAATAAATTACAATCCTGCAGAGAGTCTAAGTGAATGAGAAGAATTTTCGGAGTCTATAGAAAGTGACCACATCATCAAAGAACTGCATTTGATAATTAAACCTTAAACTAGCATTGAGATAGAAGCAGCCATCTTTTACGGCACCGTATTTGATGGGTGTGAAGATACACGATAAACGGAAAGTTCCAATAACACAATCCATTTGGTTTTTATTGATTGATTAGTTTTCTACGGCTTATCATTTGTAAGTTATTTAAAGCCTGCACATATTTTCAGATTGAAAGAATTTCTGTTTTGGAAATACTAATATTTTCGTGATACAAGTCTTACTAATTAATTTATAGCTGAGGGATAAATTATGAATATTCTATTATCTATTACACCACCCGCGCATCCAAGCTTATAGCATCTGGCATATCCAAGTGGTTACCCATCTAGATACTGACCAGGCTAAACGTTGCTTAACTTCGGTGATCATATGGGGACCGGTGTTTTAACATGATTTGACGTAGTTGACCTGTGCTAACTTATTATTATGAATACAAATCATAAGAAGTTTCTTCTCTTTTCCGACATAGCTGGTGGAGACAGCACGTGATCTAAAAGCCCGCATCTACGAACACAAGAGAGACTTGCGTTTGGACAAACGTTCTAACACTCTCGTTTTGCATCGAAACTATGCTGAACATAACATTGAATTGACTAATGTCACTCTAATTAAAAAAGAACATCATTTTTTTAAAGAGAAAATATATTGAAAACAATAACATTATTATCAATTATAAAAACACGCCTAAAACAAAACATTACATCGCCATCTTTCTTTGAACTCATTCTTAAAATATCTAACTTATATCTATCTAATACAAAGAATACACACTTAAAGAGATCAGCTATAAATTAGAATGTAACACCTCGCAACGCTGGCTGACTGCACAAAGGTGAAGACAATAGAACTCCCACTAGATAGACACACATACACAATTACGAATACTCATTACCATCCGATGCCCAGTTAGACATACAAAAAACTTCACAGACTTATATATATGCAGAATTATCTACGGTTTTAATGCACGTGACTTGTGACTAACCAATGAGAACTGACGCAAACAAAATTGAAAATACCAGAGCCTCTGTCTTTTGACTGTTTTTTCTTAATTTTTGACGAAGCTTTAATAAAAGTGAAACATGTTATATTGATATACATTTTCCTACTTGTTCTTTTATCATTCTGTCAGATTCCGATCCATATTTGATCTATATTTGATACTTAACTCGTAGCTGGAGAAATGAAAGACCTCCGATTAAACCACTTGGTTCTAATAGTTGTCTAAATCTTATCTCAAATCGCTGAAAGAATTTTTTAATTTGTAAAATATGAATGAGCAGACAGGAAATTGTAACTATCGATATAGGAATTTTTTTTCGTTTATAGTGAAAGGATTAATACCATTCAGGTGAGTGATTGCGACTAGCTAATTTTAATGTAGGGAAAGTGAAAACCAATTCCTCTCCCACCCCAATTTTTTTCCTTGAACTATTTTTATTATTACAAAAAATATCAAAATAAGTGTCCAAACCAGTGCAAGGATTTAGTGCCTGAGTTGCAGTCTTAATTTTACATAAGGTTTTCTGATATTCAAATTGATCGTTGTACAAATGATCATTAAAAGCCTGATGCAGTTCGTTCAAATCTAAGTTATGAACGCAGTAATAATGACCACAGTACCGATGCGGCCAAAACTTTACTTTAGAGACTATGACTTTCACAAACTATCTTATCGACTTGTGGTGCAATTGGTTAGCAAACTTGTGTCGCAGTTTGTTAGTAATTGGGTTGTTACTCCCATCCTTGTGGCCTTGTGCCAAAATTAAGCTGTAAATAATAAAATTCTTTTGGCATGAGAGAAGCCTTTAGCGCAACCATTAACAAAAAACACTTCGACGTTGCCTATTCAGATTTGATGCATGTAAGTGATGTAGAACGGCCATTTTATTGTCGCCTTTGGCGGGCTTTAATGATCTCGTCTGACAACTACAAAACGTGCAGCCTTAAGCGATAGGCCGATGTATATCTGCTTCACGCAAAAATCATTCGTCAGTTAGCAAGGGAAAATGCAATTATTTTAAAATACTCCCCCAATGACGATATAGATTCTGCCATGTTTTTCAACCGTTTTGGAATCGAATTACCCCTTCAACGAACGAGAAAGAAAAATTAATTCACTGTTTCTTCGGCAGAAGCTACTCTAGAGTGATTCGCCTGCTAGCTTCTTATAAGTTAAATCTTCGCTCAATGCTCGCTGTATTTGAACTTTGATCTAAGTATTCTCTTTTATTTATTATTGTTTATTTCGTAAATATCTGTGCGTAGCGTAGTAGTTACAAGCTCGGAAAGTAAGTTTGGAGTTCCTAGTTGCGATTGTCTTTGCACAAATACCATTGGAATGGTACAAATCCATCCTCCGCCCCCGCAAGTGGGGCTTTATTGTTTAGTTTGGGAAAAAAAAGTTTAGGATAAGAAAAACTCTGAATACAAAAACCAGCCTGAAATGTGAGGATCTTCGTCAGGCTATCTTTGTCTTAGACACACCACTTCTGCTACGGCTGAAATACATATCGTGTCCTATGATTCCAGTGGGTTAGAGGACACGTGACGAAACCTGAAATCTTAGTTTAAAATCGTTTGTATGTAAAATTCTCTTTAGGATCAGGTTTGAGGTAGTTTCTTCATCTAACCATCATGTAGGGTTTTCAAGTCCCCAGTCAGCTGATGATTCTAAATTGCTAACTGGTTCAAGTCATCAAACTGACGGCTAGCAGAAACAGATAATGATTCGCACCTTAATAGTCGGGGTTTGGAATGGATTATAAACCAATTCATATTTATCTTTGATTACCAAATTCTCATTTTGTAAACTTGTAAAATGCGATTGTACTTTACGAAATTCAGTTGCTTTTTCACTTCTACTCATATGTATGCTAGTTTAACAGAATTAGTGATGTGGATTTTACCATTCTCTATAAATAGATAATCTCTATTATAATACAATATATATATATATATATATATATATATATATATATATATATAATCATGAGCAGCACAAACAATAGCAGATGTCGCAAAACTAAGAAATTCTTCAAAAGACAAGAACATCTGCCTGAAATCAAATATCAGGCTGCTCTGTGCATTGGCCCTCTCAATCCTTCAGTACATCTGCGATTCCTAAATATTAACGACAGAATTACAGTAAATAGTTTAAGCACTTGAAATGAAATGCTACAGAACAATCCTAGGCATCTGCTATGTAGAAACACCATAAAACATGAAACAGACACATTGAAGGAAGTCATATCTGCCGTCAAGATGAAAAAGTTAAAATACTATGGACACGTCATAAATGCCAGGAATCTTTCCACTGTCATTCTACAAGGTGCCACCTTGGTCAAAAGAAAAAGGGGCAAATAGAGAGAAAAATTGATTAGCAACATCATTGAGTGAAGTTGGAAGATCAATCTCGGAGAGTAAGACAGTGGCACGCAAGAGTGATATATGAAGGGAGTTGGTGAAAGAGAAATGTAACAGAGTTGCTGGTGTGGATTTTACCAGTAAGTGAATTTATAATTGGTGGCTGGTTGAAGCAAGAATCTATTTTGTAGGTTAAAATAGAAGTGTAAAATTTATTGACTGGATTTTAGAAGGGAATGAATCTGGACATGTTGGAATGGGAATTAGCTTAATCTTTTACGAAAATCCGGAGTCAAGAATTTGGATTTTGCTGACATAATAGAATTAGTGCGTGATCTGATCTTTCTCGTAAACTTTTGCAAAAAGGAAAAACGTTTATTTACAAAGAAATGAATTAGTACTTGGAATTCTCTGAATTAAGGGTTTTAACTAGTAGCCTCACTTGAAACATTCCTACTCTTAGGTGGATACTCACAAAACTCTAGTATCATCGGGAAGGTTTATTCTAATAACAGTTATCCTCAACAAATCAATTCTTTGCCATTGTTTCTGCAAGCAAAAGTCAGTTGTCTGTTTTAAAAGTCGCTCCCTTTACTTTTCTTGTTAATCGCTTCTTTAAACTTTCCGTATCTTCAGTTTAGGACAAAGATCTGTTAGAGCTGCTCAACAACCTTAACCGTCTTGGGTATGACGATAACCTACATCCGCGTCCTGGGTAAGACAATAAACTACGTCCAACAGCAAGGCCTCTGATCAGGAGGTTTTCAGGAGCCAGAAACCACTTCTTAATTGCTGTCATTCTCAGGTCCCCCACCCCGACCCAGGCTGGTAGCATCTGTAAGGATCCAAGCTGCGGGCAAATAGTTAAAACCCAAACTAGGATAAAAAATCTATGAAAGTTTAAAAATGGGATTTAATACCAGAAATACTTTGAAAAAAATATTATCACTAATACATTTTTGAAAATACATATTAACAGCGATACATATTTAAAGAAAAATATTACCAGAAATAGATTTTTGAAAAAAAATTATTACCAACAATAAAGATTTTGTCAGCATTGGTTAATCCATTGAGGTTGATATCCCGTAAAACAAAGGAAAGTAAATCAACCGAAACCAACAACCATGATAAATTCGGAAAAGACATTAGAATAATCAATAATCTATGTTTTAAGTGATTTCATATATATATATATATATATATTGTATATATTATATAATATATATAATATACATTATATATATCATAATATATATCATAAATTATACATATCATATATATTATATATGATATATATATATATAATATATATTATATATATAATATATATTATATATCATATATATCATATATTATATATATATTATGTATACATGTTATATTTATATTATAAATATATTATATATATTTCATATATATATTATATATTTTTGTATCAGCTATATTATATATATATAATATATATATATATATATATATATATATATATCGTGTGTAACAGTAAATTGTCCAAACCGTGTAAAAGCAAATTTTTACATTTGTTAGATTAAGATTTGAACTATTGTATCTTAGAAATGATTAACGATATCTTACTGGAAATCTCCGATGTTATTATAATACTATTAGTCTCCAATTCGAGCCATAACAATATATAATTACTCTCCAAACATAACAGGAGAATCGTAATGAAATGGATCATAAACGAAAATGACATGTTAATCATTAATTAATAATAGCTAAGGATCGGAAGGATTGAAATTAATTTCAATAATATATATATATATTCCAGGATCATTTGCAAACTTATACAAGATGATATTCACCCTCTCTATCCTTCTAACTTTCTTTTCTGGCGTAACAAGGTGCCTCGCATGTTTCACGTACGATTTCATTTTCAAGTCTTTTTTCACTGCTCTTTGGACTAAAGTGAAACTTCGCCTACCAAACGTCTTATGGGTTGAGATGGATCTTTGTTTAATTGATCCTTTTAGCTCTAAGCTGAAATGATGATCCTCTTCT